TGGCATGATGACACATTAGCCTCTGCTTCTGGAAGCCATTGCCACAAACGAACCTCTGAGATTTACACAGCCGATAATATAAAGACCTTTAAAGACTGTGCAGAAAAGATTTACAAGAATGGTTCCAGGGATGAGGACTTCAGTTGTGTGGATAAATTAGAGAAGCTAGGATTTTCTCCTTTTTGAAGCGAAAAGAGAAGTTTGAGACAAGATATGATGCACATGTTCAAAATCATGACAGGCCTAGGTAGACACTGTTCCAATTTGGTGATTGGCAAAAGAACCAAAGATCACAAGAGGCCAAATCAGACACTGACTAGAATCCAAAATGCACTGCCTGAGAACGTGGTGGCGATTTGGAAAATCGGGGTGAGAGCCATCTGTTAAAAGAACAGCTCTCGACAGCCATCAGCTCTAAAGAAAGAGAAAATCATTGGCTCTCTCAGAAATCTCTAATATCTGAGTAAGCACCATCAAAATAAAAGTATTACGGCACCCTTAGCTAATATTCTTGACACAGGAATTCAATGGAGGAAGGCATTCCTAACTGGAGGATAGCGGAGAAGGCAAAGAACATTCAGGAAGATTTATCCTGACTGTAATTTGGAGAGATTAAGCTTTAATTAATTTTTAATTTTTTTTATATGTAAGTGGAACTTCTTTCTATTGGAACTACGTACCTTTAGAATTTTGTGTTCTTCGGGACTATTTAGTAGCTAAGGGAGAATTGTTCGATTTGTTCGTAGTTCTGTTAATTTGCTCAGTGTTTAGAGTTAGATAAGTACATTGCTACTTGTTGATTATAGAGTGACTGTCGGGAGTTCATTTCATTTAAGGGTGTTGGAGGTAGATTATACCACTTTTCACACCTCCTTTAACAGATTGAGGCGAGGTGAGCTTCTCTAGGTGTTTCAATTTTACTGATCAGTTGCAAGGGTGAGGGTCGACCTCCACTTCATAACATTTGCTTTCATACTTATCTATTTAATTATTTAGCTTGACTTTAAGAGTCTTAGATGTAGGCCATCGGATCGAGAGAAATTGTCTGTCTTTAATCCCAATAGTTAATTCAGGTCTTTTTTCCTATTGTTGACAATTGTTTTAAATTCTTCCTTTTCTATAACCACTGCGTGCCCTGTTACTATTGGGATGGCTTCAGTACCCTCCACCTTTTTTTTAAAAAAAAGATAAAATGTTGATTGTGTCTCTGCCATTTCGGAGTTCCCCAATATTAACACCTCTGTGTCATCCTCTAATGGGACCAGCATTCGCTTTAGCTATTCTGTTCCTTTTTATGAGTTGATAAAGTTTTCTGCTAGTCTTCTTTCATAATTAACCTTTCTTCTTTTTATTACGTTTTTTTAGTAACCCTTTGTTGATCTTTTAAAAGTTTCCCAATCCTCCAGCTTGCTACTAGCCTTAGCAATATAGTATGTCTTAGTTTTTCCCTTTAGTTTATCTTTAGCTTCCTTGCTTAGCTATGATTGCTCTTTTCCTCTCTCAAAATCTTTCTTCCTGTTTGAATTTTTTTTTAGTTGGGAGAAATTGAATATCTCCTTAAATGTCTGCCACTATTCATCAGCTGTTCTTTCTGCCCAGTCCACTAGACCCAAACCTGTCCTCATGCCCACGAAATTACCTTCGTTTAACACTAGAACATTAGTGTAGGACTCGAGTTTCTTATCGTCAAAATGAATTTCAAATTCCGGCATGCTATGATCACTCTTCCTGAGAGGATCCTTTTCTATGAGACCGTCAATTGATGCCATCTCATTACACAATACTAAATCCAAACTAGCCTGCACCCCTATATCATTGTTCTAAGAAACAATCTCTAATGCATTCTATTAACTATGAAGCTGCCCTTACCAGTTTGATTAATCCAGTCTATATGCATGTTAAAATCACGCACAATCACTGTCAACCTTTCTCACAAGCCCCCAGTATTTCCTGGTTTATACTGTGTCCTACTGTGGTACTGCTGTTAGGGCACCCATAGATTACTCCCACTAGGGACCTCTTCCCCTTGCTATTTCTTAATTCTACCCAGACTGAGAATACATCCTAATCTGTCACCAAAGTCATTTCTCACCACAGAACTGATTGCTTCTTTTGCTGACACAGCTACACCACCTTCTTTTCTTTTCTGTGTATCCTTGAAAAACACTGAGTACCCTTGCATTTTCAGCTCCCAGATCTGGTCTTCCTGTAACCACATCTCAGTAATCACAAATCTCACCCATTTGTCTCTGTGCTACTCAATAATTTTATTGCAAATGCTACATGCATTCAGATGCAAAGGCTTTAAGTTTGACCTATTTTCAATTCTGCCTACTCTTGTATGCAATATGACGTTCGTATATTTTGGTCCTTGCTTTCATTTTTTGGTAGCAATCAGCCCCATCACTAACTTGCACTCCTATCTTCTGTTTACAGATTGATTTTTAAGCTTTCCATGAAACAGTACACACCCTCATCTCCCAATCCTGAAATATTTAGTCTAAATCCCAACCTGTAGCCCTAGTTATGCAATTTGCCAGCACTCTGATCCCAGCATGACTCAAGTGGAGCCTGTCCCAACAGAATAGCTCTCTCTTTCCCCACTGCTGGATTTCAAACCCATTTCTCCCATGCCAATCTTTGCACCATGCATTTGATCTTGTTAACCCTGATTTAATTAGCTCATGTCTCAGGTAGTAATCTGGAGATTTATTACCTCTGCATTTCAATTTAGCAACTAGCTGCTTGCATTCCCTCAGTAGACCTCTTTCCTGGTTCTGTCTGTATCATTGGTACCTAATAGGCTATAGCAACTGATCTTTCCCCTTCCAGTCCAAGTTCCAATGCACCCATATAAAATATCCTTAACCTTGGCACCAGGTGGACAACATACCCTTCAGGACACTGGATCCTGGTTACAGAGAACAGCGTCTATTCCCCTAACTTTACTATCCTGGATTATGCCTACATTTCTCCTTTCTCCTTCGCTTGAATATGATCAGCTTATTCAACCTCCTTTCAGTACCTGTCCACACAGAAAGCAAGAATCTCAAATCTGTTGGACAAAGACAAGGTCTGAGGCTTCTGAAATGCTGCCTCCTGGATCCCACTAGCTGTCTCACTCATAATCACATCTAAGAGTGACCTATACTCAGATTTATTTAAACTTATCACCTGTTTCTAGTGGGAATTATCTAAGTTGCGTGTACTTCTGTTCAATCTAAAAAGTTGTACTTCTGTGATAGTCTACTATAGAGTTTATGTTTTTGTTAATTCATCAAGCAGGTGAAATGTCCCTCAGCCCAGTTCAGCATAATCAGTTATCATTTTTACCCGGCTTGTGTATAAAGTTCTACCTTATGTGGTTCAAAGTACAAACAGCTCAAAATATGCACCGAGTAGTGGATTAACCTTTTGCGTTTAGAGGTGTACCCATCAGTCTGAGTGATACAATTCTAATACTTTCTGTATAACAGTAAATACATTCCACCTCTCCTAAAAACTAAGTGATCTTTTTTGGGGCAAAGGCATCTGGGAAATTCATCTTCAACCCATTGAAGCAATCAAAACTTTTCTAGGAGGTCACTCCAGCCATAAGTTCTCTGCAGTACTAGCCCTTTTATAAGGGGCGATATCCATTCCAGCCATAAATATGTATAACACTCATTTAAAGAAATTTGTTGAATTGGTATCTATGCATAAGACAAAATCGAGCTCCTGATGTTTGCTGTCCTTTGGGAAAATAACCTGAAATCTGACCTTGATCTGATTTCACACAACCTTGAAAACATTACGAACATGGAAAGGAGTCAAAATGGTTCTCAAAGTGAAAGGAGATGCACTATTCTGCAAAATTTTGAAGTTAAGGAACAAATTAATGGATATTGGGGCCCTTAATAAGAATGGAAATGACAAGTTATGAGTGCAAATTAAGAAACCCTTGAAGTAAATGCCATTCAGGATTCACTATTTCACCATTGGAATCCTAGTGTAAAGAATGTTGCTTCTTTGAAAATGTCGAGGATGTGATAGTGAATTACTGATTTTGTGAAAGTTTTCGAAACAAACAGATGAGGTTTCTCAAGGGAAGGGTCCCGACCCAAAACGTCAACTTTCCTGCTCCTCTGCTGCCTGGCCTGCTGTGTTCCTCCACACTGTTATATCAGATGAGGTATGGAGTTGGTTCAAAGTCTAATGGATGATGAATACAAATACTGTGTGTAGTCTGAGCAGAATGAAATGGCTGAATTGAATTTTTTTATGACAAGTTTCAGATAATACTATAAAAGTAGTTTCTGCCGTCACAGAAGAAATTGCAGCGATAGTATCAACTCAGATAACTTACGGGAAAATTCAATGGTAATATTTTCTGTCTTCCATTTGAAGTAGGTGTAGAAAAATCGAGAACACAACATTTGCATGGTATATATTCATCTTTTTGAACATTCATTTTCACTTTCCCCAATTTCTGCATGTCCTTCCCAATGATCCACAGCTATCCAGGTCACTAGAAAGAAGTGACCTCATTGTAGCCTTCATAAATTGATGGAAGTTGATGTGGAAGGGCAGCTGTAACATGACTGTTGTTGGGTTTTATTTTTATATGGTATGCTCAGCTACCATTTAGTGTGTCTCATAGCAGCAAATTCTGTGTTGGCAACTCAATGTCTGATATGAATATATATATATAAACAGTGCCTAGTTATCCACCGGTATGTTTCAGATATGTTTAACTAAAATGGTAAGTGAATCAGATTTTACTGCCATTGCCATGTTATACGTAGTGACTAGGCTGTAGAGCTTTGAGACTGTTCGACTGTAATAAGGTTATTTTCTTAGATGCCTCTCTTGACAGTATTGTTAGAAACACAGCTGCATTAATTGGGCAGTAGTGAGAACATGGGCTTCAGTTTAAAAATGCTACTAATTGGGTGTTTTATAAGTACTTGAACATATACTGTTCCATCGTAAATTTTTGGTTTTGTTATTTTGCTCCCAAGAGTTGAGAAGAAAGAACGAGCCAGGTTAAAGACGGTGAAATTCAATTCAAAATCAAGAGATAAAGGGGTAAGTGTATTGGGAGAATAATTATTATTATGTCTGTCTTCTCTGCATGTAAGAGCGCTTACACTCATTACAAGGATCTGAAAGTCTATCTTTGATTATGATTACCTAATATTTTTTGAAACTTTTTAAAAACAGGTCTCACCTATTGAATTGTTTCACTGTATATAGCAAATTACACTTCTGAACTGAGAAAAGCTGGGAGGTTTGCCCAGTAAATATTCATTCCTTCCAATTTGAAATTGATTTATGGATATATTTTACACAAGATAGTTTTTTCCTCAATTCAGTTAGCTTATTGTATAAAATGGTGTAGTTTGAGCATCTTGGGGTAATTGTCTGTGATAACGATGCTACATAAGTGCAAGTTGTATCGAGTTCCAGCAAAAAGCTTAGCATTACAATTCTGCAGCACTTGAGTGCTAAGGTTTTGCAGGTGACTTCAATACATAAGTCAAGCCTGTGCATGGAGTGGGGGCGGAGTGGGGGGTGGTGCGTTAAAGTACTTGGCTATTTATCTGCCGAAGTATGTGTTTTTAAGTCACCCTGTTCAGAGATGTTATGGCACCAATTCTGGAGCAGCTGGGCCTGAAACCTGGGGCTTCTGGCTCAGAGGAAGGAATCCTATCACTGCACCACCATAGTTAACAGCAAAAGTATCTTGTGGTATTATTCTAATACAACAAGTGATTTAGTCTCGTAATCCAAATATCCTCTTGAATGAACATTAAAGGATAATGGCTGAATTGCTGATCACCTTGCCACTCACTCATACAAAGCACTAATGCTAATTATTTTTAATCAACCTGGTCAGTCATGGTATGACCCATCTGAAACATCTGGGACTGGAACCAGGATCTTGTGGACTTGAGACAGGGACACAGCCACTATGTCACAAGACCTAACAAATACTAATTCTACTGTATGCCCTAATCAACTTACTTTATTAGCATTTATAACAAATTGTAAATATCACAAAATACATGTAAATTTGAGAAATTCTATAACGACTCCACACCAAACTAAAGATATGTGCAAGGTTTTATAAACAGATGTGAAAATTAGATCTGTGATCCTCTTGTTAAATTTTAAACATTTTAAGAGCCTAGCCCAAGATTCTTCAGTTCGACATAAGTTTTTAAATATTAAAGAAGTGTTTTACTGCAGTCTCTGCATTAGCACTTCAATTATCCTTTTTGCAGTCAGGTAGTTGGATTTGGAAAGGCGTGAGAGGAAGAATCCACCAAAAATCAAAACTGCTAAATGTTGCCTTATACTAGTACAAGGTGTTTATCTAACTGAAGAGGGATTAGAATTGGGATCGGGTGAAATTTTCTCCTAACATTTGTTTGGTACTTACCATCGATCCTCGAATCCCCCATGGTGCTGTTTTAACAATACATCTGATTCCCGACAGTAGTTGAACCTTCCATTTTCATAATTGTGTGCATTACTTGTTTCTCTTCACTGTCCTAATATAGTAACATTCTCCCATACACATCTCAGCATGACAGTGCCACAATAAAACCAAACTCTTGCTTTATATGTTGTAGACTTCTAAAAAGATACACTTGCATTTATATAGCATCTTTCCTGATGACCAGATAATCTAAAGTATTTAAAAACAATTAAGTACCTTTTGAGGCATATTCCCTGTCATAATCTAAGAAACGTAGCTGCTAATTTGTGCACAGCAAGCTCCCACAAACAGCAATGTTAAAAAAAATCTAGTCAACTGGTGATAAATGTTGGCCAAGACATTGGAGATAACTCCACTGCTGCTTTTCAAAATAATGCCGTGGGACCTTTTACAGCCACCTGGGAGGGAAGATGAGGTCGCTTGACATCTCATCTATAAGATGGTCCCTCTAACAATGCAGCATTCCCTCAATACTGCATTGGACTTTCAACTTAGATTGTTGTGCTTGAATACTGGGGTGGAACTCGAGCCTATAATCTAATGAATTTGAACTGTGTGCTGTCCACCAAGCCATGAATGACAGATTAGATTAAATGTTTCTTGATTGGTTGCTGAAACAGATTCTGTGATAATTGAATTGGAAAAGTAAAAGTTTTAAAGGATAGACTGTTCCTGTAATGTGTGTGTTGCTCAAGTACGATTGTTTCTTTAAAACTGGGTATTAATAAATAGTGATGGTGCATTTATCTTGCGTTCTGAGCATATTACAGACACGTTAATGGTGAGAGTAAGTTAGCGGTTAGGACTGAAACCAAGATAAGTGCACATCCTTAAATGTTCATTATTATCATTAGATTATGGGTAAGGCAATTCTGATTTTTAAAATTCTGATTTTTAAAATTCACCAAAATACACTAATTCAGAGCTATATATATATATAATACACATCTATGCAGAGTTAGCTAACATTAAATACATTTTGAAATGATGTATAGAAGCAATTTTTCAAAAGGTCAAAAAATCAAAATATATAGCTGTAGCTGTTAGGAATACCTTCCTAAAGCAGTTGATCTCTGCTGGACATGGAAACTCTTGGTGAGAATTCATTCTGAAAGCCAGAAAGCTCTTTCTGCAATGGAATCTGAGTAGCAAACGTGTTTACATTTTTTTTTAAGCTGACCACCAGAGGTAAAAGCGTAACCATCCTAATGTTTGGAGAGATGACCGCAGATTTTCATTGCTACTTGTAACTTGGGGATATGCATAGGGAAAAGGGTGAGGCTCTTTCAGTTAGCTGCTACTTTGGGGCAAGGACTTACAGTACAGATAAAAAATCTTTTGCTTACCCATAATCTAAAAGTTATAAGGTAAATCATTTTTAAATTATACTACTTGATATATAAATATTTAGAATGTCAGATGTTTCTTTAGATCTCTGCAGAAATCTAAACTACTGTTCTTCAGAAATGTTGAGCTGGGAGCGAACCATAGTTTAACAGCATGTTCTACACTGTTCTTCAAGTTGCTGTAGATTTTTAATAAATGCCTTATACTAGTATTTCCTGCTAAAATGGAAAACAATTTTAGTGGTTTAGTGTGTATATCCAGTTGGAACAATTGTGTACTAACGTGTGCAGAAAATGCATGTAGCTAAAGGAATGAGGAAAACTACGCTTGCCATTGATGAAGATCTGCATCCCACAGGGCTGTCTTAATTAGCCACATTTAAACTTTGGCATGGCTTCAGAGATGCCAGGCTTTAGCACGCTCTGCATGCTGATTATTTTTTTGAAATAAAATGACTTTTACATCTCAAAATCCAATTTCTCTCTGGTTTTGGGCGTTGGCCGTGGTCAGACACCTGATGCTATTTTTTAGATTTAACTTGATGGGCATTACTGTCCCTCATTTTGGTTTCAATAATTTGCAGACCAGTTCCAGCATTTTATTAATCCTAGATGTAAAATGAATGAATTTAAAATTTGTTACCTTGGATCCAAATGGAGATTACTTTCAGTTTACACATTTGATGTTTTTCAAAATCATAAATTATTGGGGAAATCACCTGTGTTTTGAGCAATGAAGACAGTCACACCAATATTAATACCTGTAGCTATTAGTAAACTATATATAACTACGCAACTTTAGTACACATCTTAATCATTTTTTGCCCTATGTTTAAAACTCATCTTTAGAGCCAACAGTCTTGCTCAATAAATTGCTAATTTCTTAGAATTTCTTAAAACCCTTACAGTGTGGTAACAGGTCCTTCGGCCCAACAAGTCCACACCGACTCTCAGAACATCCCATCTAATCTACACATCCCTGAACACAACGGGCATTTTAGCATAGCCAATCCACCTAGCCTTCACATCTTTGAACTGTGAGAGGAAACCAGAGCACACAGAGGAAACCCATGCAGACACGGGGAGAATGCGCAAACTCCATACAGACAGTTGCCCGAGGGTAGAATCGAACCCAGGCCCGTGGCACTGTGAGGCAGCAGTGCTAACCACTGAACCACCGTGCTGCCCTTAAAGCTCACAATTTTTGTTACTTATACTCTTAGGCACTCTCATATCAGTATACAAATCAGGAGCAGAACATACACACCTGCTTTCTCATTCACTATCATCTTTTGTATGTACCAACTGGCCTCATTTCCGGTTCTGTTAAATTTGCTTTAGAATCTCCTGTTTCTTTCAATCTCCCGAAATGTCTAAATAAGCATGACCAGCAATATTTTGGAATAAGTTGTACTTTTAATCATCTTTTTGGGAGTAACTTGATAACCACTGATGTACCTCTTCTGATGTGGAATGAGAGAACCTCTCATTTTTAGATTCACCTGAAATTCTTGAGAAATTGGATTTTTTTATGCACCTTGATCACTAGCTCTCATTGTGCTACATTAGTTGTGGATTCAATCAATGGACTTCCTGCTGAAAGTTGGCAACAATCAATATTAAAATTGATTAATAACCAAGAATTTAAATTTGAAGATAGCACGCAAACAGCTACATCCTTCCCTCGTCTTCAAAATTGAGCACTGTTCATTTAAATCCATCTTTGTTTGTCTTGTTTCTAGAAAGTTTTGTCTTTATTTCTTGAAAAAGATTATTTTTAAAATCCCTACTATTGCCAACTTTTTTCATATCCATCTTGATCAATTTTTCTATTTTTATTTATTTATCTCAGATGTGAAACTTGGCCGATCTTACTCTTGTGGAAGTGACTCTAAAGCCAGCACATTTCTGTCTAGTCTTAAAAGATTTGATTGGCAGCACAGCTCAAATGCTCTATTTAAATAGAAAATATTTCACTAAATATCTTGGAAGTTGCTCTGGATTTCATTTTACAAATTTTCAGCACAGTCTGAATGAGATTTGCTGAAAGAGCAGGATACATTCTGTGCGCCATCATCTCATGAACAAAGTTAGCATTAAAACAAAATTTATACTGAAAAAATGCAAAAGGGTGGTGGCCCGAGTCAGTTTTCATGTGTTTCTAGGGTCGGGCATTAATCACGTGGACATTAGACACCCCTTTTTTTGCCACTCCTTCTCTTCCTCAGCAGTCATTCAATGACAAGCGTAAAAAGAACATCTTTTCCCGAAAATTTACCTTCTACAAGAACAAGGAGCAGAGTGAGCAGGAAACCAGTGATCTTGAACGTAAGTAGCTGCAACTAGCTATACCTGCAGAGAAGGTCAATCTCCAAGTAGGGACCTTTACTGTGTTACCATGGCAACATGTTTTTGCTGAATACAACTGGTCCCTCTCTTTATTCTTAACAAATTGGTGTGTCTGTTCCAAGTCAGCTATTTTTGCAAGTTTCAACTTTTAATGTATCGATATACAGAGGTTTTATGGTTTGATCCTTGGTTGAGAAACATCCAAACCAGTTACGTTCACACAAAACTGCCTGTCATGGTAGTAATCATGTAATGTGCCACTGACTGTGTTTTCTGTGACTGTTTTTTTTTCTTATTGCTTGCTGTCTGGGGACTACTCAACAGGAGATCCCCGGGTTAGGCGACGACGTTATGGGAACAAAAGGCCTGAGTAAGTGCCGGAAAATCCTCTCCATTCACATTTACCTCCATCTGTTTTCTAAGCTAATTTATGTTGCTTTCTGTAATGGTTTGTAGGTTTCTGCTGGCATGAGGGAGGTTCATGGTTATTGGTTTCTCATCCTTATTTTTACTTTTTTAATCATTACCATGCAAAAGCAGGTTTTAAAATCTCTGGCAGTATTTCCTATGTGAACCTTTTAGATCAATTTTTAAAATGCGATGACTAGGAAAATGTAACTGAAATGTGGCCCTTGTGTAAATTTGTAACCATGTAAATGAAATCTGAAGTTTCTTACATCTGTTTGTGGCTGAGTCATTTCTCTGATTTGCATTTGTAAGTAAACATGCCAGCTTACACTGAAATATTAGTTCAGTATTCAACTGGTGCTGAAAGATCAAATATTAAATGTTAACATAGGAAGTAGCTGGAGACCATTGCAAATGATTCCATTTTTATTTTACATAACAACATCAGTGCAATCACTATACTGTGAACTGGAGGAAAGATGATATTAAATCAAAGTCTTTTAGTTTACTGAAGCTGATAAACCTCGCTTGGGTCAAGGGGTGTTGTGGTGATGGTGTCTGTGTCTTATTTCCCAAACAAAGAAAATATGAATAGTTACTTGACAGGAATTGTATTTCGCTGTCATGAAACAGGAATGAAGACTGACATTAAAATGCCAGGAAATCAAATCCTATTGGTTCTTCAGTTAGGTACATGACTGATTCTGTTGCTTTTCTGCAAGATTTCACGGCCCCTAGTTGTCCTCCCTTCAATACTCTCACCCTCCCACCACCCCTCAATCCAGTACCATGTTTTTAAGGTAAGCACACTGCTATCAGCCTTGTTGATGACTGGTAGAGATTTGATTGTAACATTTCTTTGTCCTGCCCTGGTAAAATTGCTTGACCTCAACTCCATCTGCACCTTTGTGCAGACAGATCAAAATCTCTGCCAGAGATTGAAAAGGGGAAGGACTCTGATTCAGAGCCATTTCAGTGCCGCCCAAGTTACCTTCCACTAAATAAAAGCAAAATACTGGATGCTGGAAATCTGAAAGAAACTCGGAGAATGCTGGAGAAGTTCAGAAGGTCTAGCAGCATCTGTGGACAGAGAAAGAAGAGTTAACATTTCCAGTTTGGTATGATTCTTTCTTCCGAACGCCTTCACTTATCTCCTAATATGTTGATCACTTCCTTGAAGTATACTTGAGGGCTCTGGTTCATTCAGATAGATATAAAAAAAATGCTTGCAAATCTGAGAAAAGAAGGTAAGAAAACATATTTCAATTTTATTAAGTTCTGCCCATGTGTATCATTACATTCCTTACAGCTGTCAGCTAATAGTTCTGTGCAAAAATCTTCCAGGAAGATGACTTGAGGATTACTTTGCTTTTGTAACTGTTTTATTAGAAATATAAATGGTTGGATTTTTATCATCTGGGTTTATCTTTCTATTCAAATTCAATATGTTCCCCTTGCTGTCAGGTAAGTTTTTTGTTTTACCTATTAACTGATATTAAGATTATACACATAGCTATTTAGGTTTTACTTAATGATTAGCATTAATAATTAGCTTTCCATCATTGATAATGATATTTGATTGAATGGGGCCCTTAATCTGGTTAACATCTCTCTGTGTTTGAGGTAAGGCTGTGAAGATTTAGGTACTTATGTATTTTTTTTCAAAAAAGAAACTTGGGCACTTTTGTGTCAAAACATTGCACCTGCAAGCATACTTAACTAACTTAGTTCTGTGCTATGCATTTGGGGAGCAGTCACGGTTTAGCTGAATATTGTCCCACATGGGGGACACAGAAGTGCTGTAATGTTATTTCTGAAAGCTTTATTTACAGGCATTGTGCCCCTCTTAGTCAAACAAAAGTAAATCTTGAGAACAAGCTTTTGTGGTCGAAATAAAAGCATTCCATTTCAAAGCTTTATCAGTCATGACAGCTTAATTTATTATTAGCTTAAAGAATAATTATCTGATCCCATTATCTATCGCTAATTCTGTCTCTAAGAATTGTCCAAGTGTGTCAATCCCAACATTCCCTGCTCCAAAAGGAACTTCATGTTGTATTTGGTGTCAGAATGAATATGACTTTTTAAGGAAAAAGCCTTCTTAAATACAGATAACAAAGTCTGCCTTTCTACACTGAATCTATGGATAAGTACATCGACTTTGTGTTGTTGAACTGCATAGTTAAACTGCATAGTTAAGGAAGGTCAAATTGCTGATGTCAAATGAGGTGATTTGCTACAACTGACCTCTATCTGGACTAAGAGTAAGGAAAATATCTGTCAGTGAACTTGCTATCTCATAGCCCTTACTTGAAAGTGTCCGAGCATGTATGTTACTGGAGAACAATTCAGCGTGGGTGTAAGTTCCCATCCTGTTGATGTAGGTGACTTGTCTATAAATTCAAAATTGTCAGGAACACAAATTATTGGAGTCAAAATACTTGCACTTGGTTATTGGCCATTTTAAATTGATACCTCGAGAAAAGAAGTCAAGGGCCAGTACATCCTTCCTAGAGATAAGGGGCCCAAAATTGCTCACAATACTCTAAATGTGGTCTGACCAGAGCTTTATAAAGCCTCGAAGCACACCCCTGCTTTTATATTCTAATCCTCTTGAAATAAATGCCAACATTGTAGTTGCCTTCCTAACTACTGACTGAGAGTTTACCTGAAGAGAATCCTGGACTAAAACTCCCAAACCCCTTTGCGCTTCAGGTTTCTGAACTTTCTCCCCATTTAGAAAATAGTCTATGCCTCTATTCTTCCTACCAAAGTGCATGACCTCACACTTACCCACATTGTATTCCATCTGCCACTTCTTTGCCCATTCTCCTAACCTGTCTAAATTCTTCTGCAGCCCTCCTTGCCTCCTCAATACTACCTGTCCCTCTACCTATCTTTGTATGATCTGCAAACTTAGCTGGAATGCCCTCAGTTTGTTCATCTATATCATTAATATATAATTCCAAGTTTTCTTTTCTTTCTGCATATTGCATTTATTAAATAGAAAATGGCAACAAGAGTCTGGAACCAGTGTAAAGAGATAAATAATGGATATGAGAAAGTACTGCAGGAATAGGGAAGGAGAAGAGAGACCACCAGAGACTGTGGTAATGGATGTCCTAAACAGAATATACCAAAGAATTGGGAAGTTGAAAGGAAGTCAGCAATGATGCAGTTTGGGAAAGGGACAAGATTGATTCAGTCAGTTGCTTGCATCTTATTTTCCCTTATGAAATATCAAAAGAAGATCTATGTGATTTAACAACACTGACATTGCATTGCAGGTCTATATGGGCAGGCTAATCAAAATTGATAAATAATGATCTACTTGCCATTGCTGGCTGTAAATGGTTACTAACAATGGTACCCAATGTCTGTATGAACCAGATGTAATTCTCTCCTGTGGGGGTTTTTAGTGCTTTAAACCTGTTACTTTGTTCAGAATTGTCGCCAGCATCACTTATGCTGTCAGTTGAAACTTGAGGGATGTATTACCTACTGTGTCTGCTCTTGAGATCCTGGGGACTACTATTGACCAGCAACTGAACTGGATTACTAATCTAAATACTGCAGCTATAAGAGCAGGTCAGACACTGCAAATCTTGCAGCAAGTAACTTACCACCTGATTCCCCAAAGCCTACAAGGCACAGGTCAGGAGTGTGATGGAATACACCACCTTTGCCTGGCTGACTGCAGCTCTAACAACACTAAAGAAGCTTCAGACCATCCAGAACAAAGGAGCATACTTCATTCACCACATTCACAATCACCACAATCCCTCCACCTCTGTTGCTCAGTAGAAGCAGTGTATACCATCTACAAGATGCACTGCAGAAATTCACCAAGACTCTTTGGAAAGTACCTTTCTCACCCATAACCACTACCATCTAGAAGGATAAGGGCAGCAGACACATGGGAACACCTCCCAACTGCAGGTTCCCTTCCAAGCCACCCTGCATCCTGACTTGGAAATGTGTCCCCGCTCTTTCAGTGATGCTGGGGTCATAATCCTGAATTACCCTTCCTAACAGCATTGTGAATGGGCCTAGAGCAAATGGACTGCAGCACTTCAAGAAGTCAGCTCACCACCATTTTTTTGAGGGTAACTAAGGCCAATAAATGTTGGACTCGCCAGCGATACCTACAACCCACAAAAGAATGAAAAAATGTAGCTTAATTCTCCACAGTTATAACCTGGTGAAAGTGTAGTAGAAGTTTTAGCTTAGAGGAGTTGATGGCCGAGTCGTGTTATTGCTGGACTGTTAATCTAGAGACCAGACAATATTCTGGGGACCCGGTTCAAATCCTGCCACGGCAGATGGTGGCATTTGAATTCAATAAATATCTGGAATTAAGAGTCTAATGATTACCATGAATCCATTGTCGATAGTCGGAAAAGCCCATCTGGCTCGCTAATGTCCTTTAGGGAAGGAAACTGTCATCCTTACCTAGTCTAGCCTACATGTGACTCCAGACCCACAGCAATGTGGTCGACTCTTAACTGCCCTCTAGGCAATTGGGGATGGGCAATAAATGTTGCCTAGCCAGCGGCACCCTCATCCCGCGAATGAATAAAATAAAGACCCCAGAACATTATCTGGGTCTCTGGATTAATATGCAAAAGTGGTAAAAGCCAATCTGTATATATGGGGCAGTTACTTGCATAAACTAAATATGTCCACAAATCATGTGGGTAGTGAATTTTAATTTGTTTTTTAAAAATACAATTAAATACTTAAATCATTTGTTTAAGAAACAAAAACAAACTTCTGTTTCTTTTCCACAATGTGTGTATTTCAGGTTTGGTCAATGGGTGCAGAAATAAAAGTAATATATTTTATCTGCTAAGCTGAATGACAACTAAACTGCTGCTCTGGCTGTACTGCCTATCTCCTATTATGTCTGACCCTAAGTATAAAGACAAACAGTTTGCCTGTTAGCTGCTGCTGAGTCATAGGAGTCCTTCAAAATAAATTCTAAAATGTTCAATACGTAATACGCCCTTTGACAATTATGGCCTAAGATGTGCTTAGGACTGGTGAGGTATTGGGTTATAAATAAAATATGTTTCAGAACCCAACATACCGAAATTCAGTATTGAGTTGTGATTTATCTCTTAGACTTTCAAGTGAATGTTTTCATTTTAATGGATTTATTGAGAGATTTTCCTGGACAATATTAATTGAAGGCAAGCACATTTTCAACCTAGTTAGAGGAGTAGAAAGCACTGCTCATGTCATTTCTATATGACCACTAAGTAGATTAAAAATAAGGTGGTAATTTCCTTTAATGGTTTTATGTTGAATTAAGCAGAACTGTTGCATTACAGTATTTGGTACGACAACATTGACAACTTATTGTGGGAGCAAGCTGTATACATTGCATTGCATGCTGGTTTGCAGACTGTATATATCTGTTACTACTGTAATGTTCATTTTAGATTATCGTGCTGCTATTGGGTGGTTAAACATGTTGGGGCTGTTCAGAATTAAGAGCTCACATTTCCCAGTTCACAGTAATCACATCATCCAAATATTATGCATTTCACGAGCCCCATGATTGCTGTACATATTTTGGAAATGCATAATTTTATCAACCATCATATGTGTTTAAATGTTGCATTTGATTATGTTGCTTATATTTCTTTTATTATGATTTCAGAGCATGTAACCTCTAATGCCAGTGATAGTGAAAGTAGTTACCGTAAGTTGTTTCTTGTTCCGTTTGCTTTTGCGTTCACACTAGACTTCCCACATTTCCTTTGCAGAGCTTTCAGTGCTGCTACCAACTGATTAATGGTTTTCATGTCCTTGGTAACCTTCAGGCAAAGTGGGAAAGGTATTCATATATGATTAGTATATATTACCTTGCAGTTTTTGACATTCTAAATAAAGATAGATTGGACGCTTCCTATGCATGTTCTACTCACAACAGAATTTACACTGAAATTTAAACTTTATGTTTGGAAATTTTGGATAGATTTATTTGAGGGGGTTAATCTACATTCCACCTCCTTGAAGTTGTTTCGTACTCTTGTTTTTTTTTGCTTTTAAATGGCAATGCTTAACCCAACCTTCCCATGTAGACACGGTCATCTTTGTAAATTTGCTTCCTCCTGTAGGTTTCAGCCATGACATGCACAATTTCATTATTGAGCAGATTAATAACCTGTTCTCAAATATGTCATTGTGATTTAACTTGCACAATTCCTGTCTGAGAGAAATTTTGTCTTGATTGATGTACATTTAGGTAACTGGTGTGGTGGTTAAAAGATCTGCTCAAAGACTATTTCTCTCATAGCTTATTGGAAAGGAATTCCATGAGGAAACTTCTCAATTTCTGATTTAGGATAGACCAATTCCAATTTTTGAACTTTGAATTTCCTTGCCTTGCCAACGGAGCTTCGATACTGACGCATCTGTGTATTTGCTTTCCATTAAAAGCTGTCCCTTTGGACAAGTAGGATTGCAAGGGGTAGGAAATTCCATGATTTTGTGTTTCTGGAAAAGAACGCACAATGATTACATAAGACAGATGTATGGAACAATGTTTCTGGAACCTATGATGTAATAAGGTGTGAAAGTTCAGATCTGCACCACCAATACTGCTATTGATAAGAGTAGATGTAAAAGATTACAATGAGACAGAGGCTGGATATATGGAGGTGAAGGAAAGAATGTCACCTATTGTGGAGACAAAATGGCCAAAGGTTTAAAAGGTTCTATACATATGTTTATCTAAATGCGAATATGGCATTGCGACGGAGAATCAGCCATGATCATTTTAAATGATGGAGCAGGCCAAAAAGGGCCAAGTATTCTACTTTTCCTAGTTTCCATGTCTCAAATGCTCTGAATGACTGTTGAAGTCTAAAGGAAATTACTTAACCAATGATCCAGTGATCTGATTAGGTACATTAAAGCAAAACTTAGTTTTGGTATAACTGCTCAAAGGAAGGAAAATTGGTATCTTCAGATATTTGAGTGCCACATCATGGAAAATGCAACTGACTTATAAGTTCACTGCAATTGAGTTGGCTACAAATGCAAGTCAGGAGAATGGATATTTTATACATGGAATGTATGCATACTTTGGAGATAAATGTCATTTTTATAGGAGGAATATACCATTCAAGATATGAAGCAAGCAGAAGTTTGTTCACAATCCATTAAAATATCTTGTTCTGCCTTCAACACCAACTGTCAGAGCTTTTTCCAATTGTTGAATTAATCACCATCTCCTTTTCTGTAAGGGTACTAGCCATATATGAATTGCTGCCTTTTAACTGTGTAGTATTGTTGATATTAAATTTGAAGAGCCACAGACATGAAAGGGCAGCCAGCACTGAAATGACTATCACTGATTTAGTTTTGTCAGATGTCAACCTGATCAATGGATAACAGGACTGATACGCTTAAATACTTGAAAAATGTGCTGCAAATTTTACTTCTTCCCTTTCTCCTTCTGCCTTTCTTCCTTCATAACAGAAATCATGATTACAGATGAGTATGGTGAAACAAGAGGTTAATTTCAGCCAGTTCTGTTTATATATTTCTCCTCAAATGTACATTGTTTCTCATCAGCCCTGCTTTTGCATGAGTTGCTTGTGCTCTCAATTTTGTCTTAAATGTTTCGAGTAATTTTTGACAAAGATTCTCTTTCGCTTGACAACAGTTAAGGTTGTACATTCACCTGGTTAATTAGTTCTGAAATGAAATCAAGTTCAATAAAACTTGGACATGATTTTTTTTATTAAAAACTACGAGGGCGGCACGGTGGCACAGTGGTTAGCACGGCTGCCTCACAGCGCCAGGGACCTGGGTTCGATTCCAGCCTCGGGCGACTGTCTGTGTGGAGTTTGCGCATTCTCCCCGTGTCTGTGTGGGTTTCCTCTGGGTGCTCTGGTTTCCTCCCACAGTCCAAAGATGTGCAGGTTAGGTGGATTGGCCATGCTAAATTGCCCGTAGTGTTCAGGGATGTGTAGATTAGGTGGGTTATAGGGGGTTCGGTGTGGACTTGGTGGGCCAAAGGGCCTGTTTCCACACTGTAGGGATTCTATGATACTACAGCTCAGCTCATTTTCCCAATGATCTGTTTTCTTTCCTCCACCCTTCCATACCCCTTAACACGTGAAACTAAGACTTTGACTTTGGAAATTGAACTACATTGGCCTAGTGTCTGGCACAATACATTGGAACCAGGCAGCGTGTATTTAAAGACATACTGTCAGAAGGTTCAAATGTTTATGATATATTATGTAATGGGCACTTCACAGAGATTCCATATCTTGTCAATATGCAGTGATGCCAAGGGATCAATCTTTCCTCATTTACTCTAGTACGGTGGAGCCAACAAATTCTCAGTTTGTTGTCAACTGTAATTTAGAAACAGCACGACACCAGCAAAGATGTTTGTGTGCAGAATTTAGCAGGAACTATTTATTCAATTAAAAAGCTGCATGGGTATAAAGTTGCTACTTTTAGTTACTGTTTCTTTGATAAACTTTTTTGTGAATGTACTATTTTAACTGAAGCAATAACTGTAAAAGCTCTTCACCTGCCATTTTACACTGATCGGTTACATTCTGAAATATAATACGAATAATGAATGACGGAAAAAGATCCTCTGGTCCATTCAGCCTTTCCCATACAAATTATAATGCCTTGATGTATCAGATTATGTGCAGGCCTCACCCTTCCAAAAACCATGTGATCTTGGTGAAACAAAATTTGTTGGAAAAATGCAGCTCACTGGGATAGCCGAAAGTATGGATTGGAAAACCTGGGAAATTCCTCTCTGACCCCTTACGTGATCAAAACTAGCATTGGGATCATTCTAGTCTTAAAAATTTGAAGAAGTACCTGCATTTTATCCAAGGCAATGTCCCTCCCCTTCCCTACCCCCAAAACATCTCTCATTTGAAAGAATTCAACAAATTGATATGCACCTTACAAGTCTATTCCAGAGATCCACTTATTTCTGGTGAAAACAGGCACTTCCTTGCCTCTAATCCTACATTACACCTTCCCTAACCTGTTCATAGGAACAAACTACAAAATAAAGGACCATTTTTTTCTTCCACAATGCTTGAGCAAATCATGAAATGCAGATAATAAAGTGTAAAAGTAACAAATCCTGTCAGCTATGATCTATAATATTACTACTTCAGTTTATACTGTAGGGATGTTTGAACAGGTAAGAAAGGGTCACACAACTGAATCAAGAATCTCTTCATTGGCAGGTGAAGTGTTAATTTGAATTGTATCGGGCGTCTATACCAAATGAAGACATGCTTTAACCTGCTGACCACGAATGTGTTGGTCTTGTTCTTTGCTGACGTGCAACTGTTCAGTACTGTGGAGTGGATAGTCTGTACTTTGGCTTTAAATTATACTTTGTGGTGTATATGCCTTTCTGTGTTAAAATGGCATGAAAAGACTGAAATCATTCAGGATAGAAACAGGTGCTTAAACAATCAGGCCTATGGCATCATCTTTATGTGCAACAGGTGCCAAATTTAATCCCCATTATTCTCCCTACCATACCCTTTTTAATGTTCTTGCTTTTAATATTAGTGTGCACATTTCATTTGAACACTCTGGCAAGGATCCAAGTTGTTCAAACTGGACAAGTGCTCACTAATAAAGGACAGAGAAGAAGTCTCACTAGAGACCACTTAATCATTGCAATATTGCATCCTATATACTGGACTTTATTAGCATATCAAAATTTCCTATACTTTCACTCATTTTATTCAGTATCAGTATCAAGAAAACTAGACCTCAGAGTCTGAATCAGAATGCTAAATATTTTTAGGATTAATTTTATCATTTATCATTTATTGTTTTCTTGCTTTTAGACGCAGAGTTCAACACCACTGCCCTATAACTGCACAATCTTAAGATTTGGAATCTTTTATAAACCAGAGTTCAGATTACTGTCTCAACTGATATGCATTCATAAATGATGCCTCTCCCCTATTGTGCGCAACTTTTTAAGTATATTTGCGTGTACAGATCTTTTTAAAGTGTAATCTGGAGTGCAAGATGGAAGCACAGTTTACATACTGTCCTTCCTAAAACTGATATGATGACGAAACCTTTCTATATCAATGCTTTAATTAAAAAAACCATGAACCTACAGTCGCTTGTCATAATGTCAATTAAATAATTGGTCACATAAAATAACTTGAACAATATATCTGATTTGAAAAAGTTTGCTTTTTAGACAGAGATTGGAATATCCAGTTTTTGTAATAATGTCATGCATTGTCATGTTGAATGAGTGTACCCTGCCACATAAACAATATTTTAATACTGCATTTCTGCTATTTTATTTTATTGTTTAAAAGTTGCCTTTAATATTGTCTTTTTTTTTGGAATAGGTGGTCAAGAAGACTATGTTCTCTCCTATGAACCTGTTGGCCAGCAGGAGGGTAAGTGGAAACTGACTAAAGTATGTAACAGTAAATTAAATAAGGTAACTTCTGTCTCTTTCTCTTCTACCCAATCAGTATAGTTTTTGAACAAATATTATTTTCTTTACATCTAATGTCTCCACTGTTTTCACGTAACATTCCCCTAATGCTTTGGACGTAAATGCAAAGGCACTCTGCCAGTTTGTATAAATACTATCCTGTGGTCACCTTTTGAGAAGTAAAACATTATTCCAAGATGACTTGTCGTCCAATTTTCTTTCTTCTTGTCAGTGAAGACGTGCCATCTGCTCTTACTCCTTGATAGTCGTATCAAATAGCACAACACAAGTCTCTTTTATGTATACCGGCTGACAAATAGTGTGGTGGTTATATTTTCTGAGGAGCAAGTCTACGGTCTCTTCTGGTTAAAGCCACAGTTTCTTCCTTGTCAACTTTTAGTCTCTCGCACACTTTCATTGTATACAAGAGCAGATCAGGGAATTGTTCACGCTTGATCAGCTTAATCTTTTGATCAGCTAGACAGAACGAAAGCTCCTTTCCTCTCATCCTTTCTTGAAATTAAAAGACCAGAATTCACACCGTGTTCAAACCCCTTTTGTTTGACTTCCATTCCAGCATTGAGTCCACCTAGCTCAAGTCACCAGTAATAGCTTGAATAGGCTTCTAACTGCACAATGATTACATAAGACAGATGTATGGAACAATGTTTCTGGAACCTATGATGTAATAAGGTGTGAAAGTTCAGATCTGCACCACCAATACTGCTATTGATAAGAGTAGATTTAAAAGATTACAATGAGACAGAGGCTGGATATATGGAGGTGAAGGAAAGAATGTCACCTATTGTGGAGACAAAATGGCCAAAGGTTTAAAAGGTTCTATACATATGTTTATCTAAATTCCTTTGCTCTTTTCTCTCTATATTATTCCATTCTCCTTCACCACTTCTCTCCCGGAGTCTTACTTCCACCACCCCCATAATGCACATAATTCCATTTTGCCGTTGTCAACAAAGCCAGTAATTTGCTGCAATAACTTCTCCATTGCTTTTAGTCTCCTTTCAAGTGCAGAAAAAAATTGGCCCTTGGGCCCTTAGTAGCCTTTGCATTTATCATTTGTAAGCATAGGATCAGTTTCCAGTCTTCAATTCTCTCCCAGCATCCTTGATTCCACAAATAGTGTTCATTTAACATCAAGTCATGGCAGATCAAAGGCTTCCTCGACATTGGGAAGACCAAAACAATTCTGTTCTGTTCTCCCTAGACACTTCTCCCCTAATCACAATTGCACTTTATCCCCTAGCTGCCAACTCACACTAAAGCTAAATGCTATAACATCATCTTCACTATGCTGCTTGATCCTGAACTGAGCTCTCTCAAACAACGTAATCTTGTAAATTACTGAAACCACATTACAGCCTCCTTCATTATCACCACTACCAGTAAAAACCCTTGTTACCTCAGTTTCTCCAACACCCTACATCAGCTCCACAAGTTCTACTCTCTCAAATTCAAAATGACCAAAATTCTTACATTTGTGTCTATTGTGTACAACGTCTCACTTATCTATGAGCATCTACTCATTTGCCCAATCTAGGGTGTGTCAGCTTTCAGCTTGTTCTTATCTGTGCACGTGACCTCATTTTACCCTATCATTGCAATCCTGTCCAGTACTTCAGGCAAGCTGATGACCTCTTCTTCTACTTTGCCTCTGTATTTTGACTCCACACATTCTTGCGCTCCGCCACTAAAAGCAGAGCCTTTGACCATTATAGCCACCAGCTCTGGAATTGTAACTTTGAACTCCATTATAGAATAGGAGAGAGTTTGGCTCATCGAAATGGTGCCAACTTTCTGGAGAGCAGTTTAAGTCCTGTTCCCTCGCCTTACAAGTTTATTTCATTCAAATATCCACACCGTTTTCTTTTGCAATTATAAAATGTCTTGAATTCCTCCATTCTCATAGGCAGCGTGTTCCAAGCCATCAGCACATACTGCACACTTCCACCTCCCCTACCTCTCTTGCCCAAGATCTTAAATCTATGTCCTTCTATGATCAGCTATTGGGAATGGCTTTTCTTTGTCTACCCTGTCAAATCCTGGCATAATCTTGTACACCCCTATCAAATCTCGCCTCAATTTCCTTTGCTCCAAGGAGAACAATCTCAGCCTCTCCAGCCTAGCTTGTGGCGAACACTCTTGTCCCTGAAATTATTCTGTAAAACCTATTCACTCCCTCAGATTCTCAAACAAGCAGAAATGCAACTTAAAACATGATAGGATCCTGTGGCTGTTAGAATTTTGTAGCTAAAACCGACAACTTATTTTACTGAGTATCCAGTTGGAGAAATCTTGTTTTACAAGGTGATCTAGGTTACTTTATCTTTCTCATTTAGAAAAATGTCCATCTTCACCCTCTTCGTTCACTGTCATCTCTAAATTTTCTCTAAATTTCTGCTCAGTGTTTGGTTTCCTTCATCTTCTGGAGTGCTATGAAGTACTTTGCTTTGTTGAAAATTTTCATAAATTGAAAGCACTCTTTGGGGACAAATCTGCTGGAACAGAGAAGTATAGTTTAATGGCCAGTCTTCTGGGAAGTTGGTATTTTTTCAAGAACCGTAACTTCCCCCCCTCAGTGGTCGAGAACGCCCTCAACCGTGTCTCCCACATCTCCCGCAACTCATCCCTCACACCCCGTCCACGCAATAAGAACCAAAAAAGAATCCCCCTCGTCCTCACGTACCACCCCACCAACCTCCGGATGCAACGCATCATCCTCCGACACTTCCGCCATCTGCAATCCGACCCCACCACCAAAGACATCTTTCCCTCCCCACCTTTATCTGCTTTCCGGAGGGACAACTCTCTCCGTGACTCCCTTGTCCGCTCCACACTCCCCTCCAGCTCCACCACACCCGGCACTTTTCCCTGCAACCGCAGGAAGTGCTACACCTGCCCCCATACCTCCTCCCTCACCCCCATCCCAGGCCCCAAGAAGACTTTCCACATCAAGCAGATGTTCACCTGCACATCTGCCAATGTGGTATACTGCATCCGCTGTACCCGGTGTGGCTTCCTCTACATTGGGGAAACCAAGCGGAGACTCGGGGACCGCTTTGCAGAACACTTACGCTCGGTTCGCAACAAACAACTGCACCTCCCAGTCGCGAACCATTTCAACTCCCCCTCCCATTCCTCAGACGACATGTCCATCCTGGGCCTCCTGCAGTGCCACAACGATGCCACCCGAAGGTTGCAGGAACAGCAACTCATATTCCGCTTGGGAACCCTGCAACCCAATGGTATCAATGTGGATTTCACAAGTTTCAAAATCTCCCCTCCCCCCACCGCATCCCAAAACCAGTCCAACTCGTCCCTGCCTCCCTAACCTGTTCTTCCTCCCACCTATCCCCTCCTCCCACCCCAAGCCGCACCTCCATCTCCTACCGACCAACCTCATCCCGCCCCCTTGACCTGTCCGTCCTCCCTGGACTGACCTATCCCCTTCCTAACTCCCTACCTACACTCACCTTTCCTGGCCCCATCCCCGCCTCTTCGACCTGTTTGTTTCCTCTCCACCTATCCTCTCCTCTATCCCTCTTCTATCCGCCTCCCACTCTCTCCCTATTTATTTCAAAACCCCCTTCCCCTCCCCCTTTTCTGATGAAGGGTCTAGGCCCGAAACGTCAGCCTCTCTGCTCCTATGATGCTGCTTGGCCTGCTGTGTTCATCCAGCCCTGCA